CCTTGGATAAGGACTCCAGGCTTGGAAAGATGCTGGGACAGCAAAATATAAAAGGCCCTTAACCAGGTGTCTTGACACAGTGACTGCAGCAATGGGCTGGAGTGTGTCAAAGATTGTAAGGATGGCACAGGATAAGACAGGGTTCAGAGCCATTGTTCATATAGGCACTAGGAGTCATACTTAACTCAATGGAACTTAACAACTACATAAAGTACAAAACTACAAAAATCTCAGGCATCCACATTAAAGAACATAAAGAGGCTTCCCCTAAACTTATGTCACTTTCTCCTTCCTATGTCCAGCTTCTCATATTATATGCTCAACACAAAGTAAAATACAAGGGCAAAGCTCTGATGAACACCTTTTCCAATTCTTAACCTCAGAGTATTTCCTTGTTCTGTTTAACTATAACTGACTGTAACAGTGCACACGAAACCTTGATTCATGTACAGGTTCTATCTGAACACAATTTAAGTGCTCAGGAAATTTCATTCTCAAAAAATGTTAGCCATAATTTGGTATCATCCACATAGCTGAATGCCTTCATGTAGGTAAGAAGATGCACACAATTTTCTAGTATTCACTGCTTCCAGTCAAGATCTATCCGACATTTGCAGAGATATCCTTTGTTTCACATCTTTTGAATCAAGCTTGATGTTATAGCGGCAATTGGCTGGCATGCTTTATTAATGGTATGTTCAACAATTTCTACATTATATTTGATCACTTTTCTTTGAAATGGATACTAATAAGGATCAGTTTGCCAAATTGCTGTCTTCTTCATTTCTTGAAACATACAGACTTGCAACATTTGCTGTAATTTGTTAGTAGTTGTGGGTACTTTATCAATTCCTGAAGAATTGCTTTCTGCCAATACCTTCAGTGAAGCTTGAAATTCTTTGTAAAGAGTGAGCAGGTTGAGGATACCAGAGTATGTGACCTCTATCAAGGTCACAAAGTGTAGCAGTCCTCTTGAGCAACATCCACAGTATAAAACAAATTCCCATAAGGTCAGATATGGTCTCCAAGCACCTGTACCTACTTCTTCTAATTCTAACACTAATTGTACTGCTCTGTTACTGGGACTGAAGCCTACTGCAACAGCTACACAGACCTCACAAGACCAAACTCAGAGATTAAAGAGTTTACCAGGGAAGTTAACAGGTTACAATTCAGATTGGTAACAGGATACAACTGCTCAATCAGCACCAGGTCTCAAGCATGGTCATAGGTCCTTTGAGCTTCAGTCTCACAGCTTAGGTCAGGGTTAGAAAGATCTTAGTCTTGCCAAGGTGGTGGTGTCACCGTGTCCTACTCACACCCCTAGTCCTTCAGCAAGCTTAAGCAAAGCCCCCTGGGTCTGGCTGAGTGGAGCAGCACTTTCAGGTCAGCTTGCTGGTTCTCTGCTGCAGCTGTTGGTGCTCTGATGTAGGTGCTGGTCTGAAATGTGCAGAAATCTGTGGTCCTGAAGGATGCATCCTACATTCTCTCCTTCATCCTTGCTGGTAGTGAGATTCTCAATTTATGCTCTACCTGCTCAATTTAAACCTGGCAGGATGACAAAACTGGCCAGGTCCAACACCCTTTTGCATGTTGCTATCCAGGCCCTTGTGGATAAAGTAAAAATAATGGCCTAAGGTCACCAGTACACCCCATTCTTTCAACCCAAGCCCACTGCTATTGTGTCAATTCTGCAGGAAAGAATACAACTATTCAGGGAGCTCTGTTGGCCAAATGGCAAGAAGTTGAACTGCAATCCCAGAGTTACGCAGTTTGAATCCACCAGATATTCTGCTGAAGAAGGAGGGGTAACCTCCTGTACCAGTCATATCCAATTTGACGGTACACAAACAAAATAATAAAATAAAATTTTTAAAAAAAAAACAACAACTACAACTACTTAACAAAGTTTCCAAGGAGACTGCACAATGTTCTCCTGGGGAACAGCTGGTGAGGTATTTGGAAGTTTTTTTTAATGTGTTTATACAAAGAAAGGTATACTATATATTATATTTTGTTCTTATTTTTAGGCATCATGCTGTCTGGTGCAAGATATAGCAATCCTATGTACAACAAAAAGAAACAAACTCTGCTCAAATTTGGACTACTTATTATGTCAAACATTTTACTAATTAGTGCTAAGTATGACATGTGCTGGTGTTATTGTGTACCATCAAGTCAGAATCAAACCAAAGCTGACCCTCCAACAGGTTTTCAGAGGCAGTTAATCACACAAGGGACTGTCCATCCTTCTCCCATGGAGCAGCTGGACTCCAACTACATGCCTCTGGAATTGCAGCACAGCTTCTTGCCTCTAAGCATCAGAGCTCCCTAGGTATGAACTATATCTATTTTTCACTTTTATGTCAATCTGACTTCAAGATAGAATTAAGAAATAATCATCATCTAGCTTAATCTGGGGAATAAATTAGAAACTACAAACATGATATATTCAGTTATATTCTTTTCTTTCCCAATGTAATATCTGTTGTTGTTATTTTGCTGTTATGTGCCGTTGAGTTGCTTGCAACTCATAGCAACCCTATGTACAACAGTCCTAAACCCTCCTTTATCCCTTGCCAATCTTATTGTCTCCAACGTGCCCATCTCCATTACCCCAGTAACGGAATCAATCCATTTCGTCGAGAGGGTCTTCCTCTCCTGTGCAGTCCCTCCACCTGGGATTCTATTTATCCCTGTCAGAAGAAAGTTCACACAAACACAAAAAATAATGCCAAGACAAATAATGCCAAGACATCAATGACTCTCTACTGCTTATAATGCAACCCTCAAATCCTCTTATAGGATCAAAGCTCTAGCAACTTTCCAGTTCTGGTTTACTGCTCCATTTTCATCTCTTCATCTCTTATCTTGACATAAACACCAACCACATAGGACTGCTTACCATTCTAAAAAGAGGTACATGGTTTCAAGAAGTAATTTCTTTTGATTGTTTCTTAATCTCCTTATTTGTCATCCCAATCTCAATCTCTTACAACAAAGTTCATTTCGAATTTCTGGTGCTTGAGAGGAGTAGTGAGGGTACCATGGACTGCTAGGAAAACAAACAGATTCATCCTGGAAAGGGTCAATCTGGGCTGCTCCTTGGAGGCAAGGATTCTAAGGCTCCATCTAACATACTCTGGACATGTTGCAAGGAGGAACAGGTCCTTGGAGAGGGACATCATGCTTGGTAGGGTGGAGGGACAGCGCAGAAGGGGAAGGCCCCCTATAAGGTGGATTGATTCAGTGACTGGGGTAATGGGGAGGGGTGTATTGGAGACGTTGCAACTGACACAGGACAGAGCAGAGTTTAGGGATGTTGTATATAGGGTCACTATCAGTCACAAGCAACTCGATGGCACATACAAACAACAACATCAAAATTTACTTGTTGAAATGCTACCACAAAACTCCATCTCTGGTGGTCTAGTGGCAAGAAGCTGTATTGCAATCCCAGAGGGCACAGTTCGAATCCACCAGATGCTCTGCTGGAGAAGGAGGGATAATCTCCTCCTGTACCTGTCAGATCCGATTTGATGGTACACACACACACACACACACACACATAATAATAAAATAATATTTTTTAAAAAAAACAACTCCATCTCCAACACTAAATCCTGGTACCCAATAGTGCAAGTTATTTCTCCATCCTCTAAAACTCTAAAAACATTGTCTGTTATATTGCTGACCTAAAACTATTCTGTATTCTTATCTTTACTGCAAGGATATCTTCTGAAGGACTGGAATGGAATATTTAGTATCTCTGAATTTCACAACAAAGGACATTTAGGAGAAATTTAGGATACATAGCAATTTTAAAAAAAAAGTGGTACCTTAAACCAAATCTGTTGCCAAAAAATTAAGCATATGATGAGCTAATGATCCAGAGTAATAACCACCACCTGAAGGTTACTGAGATGCTCAAGTAGAGGCCTTGGGAGCACAGCAACATTTATACTGACTAAAGAATGCAACAGTATTTTATACTTCAATCTGCTGCTCACAGAATAACAATGAGCTGTAATCAACTAGACAGTATGTAACAATAACAACTCAGTTCCAAGTCAGAGGTTCTGGTTAATTAGCATATCTACTTGCTCCTTTCACGCTTTCATTCATGTAGATTTCTGCTATGTTTTCTGTCCTTTTTCTATCTTGCTTCTTAAATTTTTACTCCAAAACAGACTATAAAAATACTATTTTTGCTGAAGACAGAATTTGAAAAATGAGTAAGTAAATTCTGAAGTCGCTTCCATGGAACATCCCTTGGATGGCCAAAAGAACAGGTATATCACAGAAAAGTTGCAGCCAGAGTGCTCCTTGGAGGCAAAAGCGCTAAGTAGTCATCTCATATTCTTTGGACATGCTGCTAGGAGAGGCTATGCCTGAGAGAAAGATATCATTATAGGAAAAGCAGAGGGCTAGAAAAAGAGAGGAAGATCCTCAACCAGATGCACTGACACTGTGACTATAGCAACGGGTTCAAGTATGTCATACATTGTGAGGATGACACAGGACAGGTCAGTGCTCAGATCTCTTATTCATAGGGTCACTATTAGACATACTCAACGGCACCTAACAACAACAACAACACCACAAAGTCCCTTACAACTCTGCAATCCTGTGGCACAACTGGAAGTCTAAGAGTGTTTATTCTGACTCCCTGTTGAAGGGAAAAATGATTAAGTGATTAAGACTAATCAAGCCTTTGTTCTTATAAAAAGAAGTGAGTTATCTCTATAGCATACATTCCAGATGAGATTTTATGAGGCTGGTATATATGTGTGTGTGGCATAGGACAAGGCAATAGGATTCAGATCTTTTCTTCATGGGGTCACTTTGAGTTGTACGTGGCTCGACAACACCTAACAACAATAACTATCTATTTGTGTATATGCATTTATATGTGTATGTGTATTTGTAGAATCATCACAGAAACATCAACAAAAATAATGAAAACAGGGTACAATAAAAATGGTTATCTATAAACTTACAACCAGATATGAAGTCTTCATTCACTTCATCAATTAGAGATGTATTTAAATCTTGCTGTTTATTAAATGATGTATAATAAGCTAGATCAGTTACCCATTTGCCCTCTTCGTTTTGATAGACCATATTTTGTGGCAGATCCATTTCTAAAAAAGAGAATTCCAAAAATATTAATATATGTAATATCTAAAATTATACCAATTTACTATCTTATTTATCAACAACATTAACATGTGTCGGTAACAAATTAGAAAAACAGTTGATTTTCCCAAAAGAAAGGCTACATTTAAACATAATGTACAAGTCTGTAGTAGAGATTAAGAGAGAAAGGAAAAGAACACAAAGATTTAGAAAAATTTATTTCTATAACATTCTGTCCTATACCAGTATACTTATATTTGTCTTATACTACATTTATAAAACACTTAATATTTCAATATAAAATTAGGCAAATCTCATATGACAATATATTTTGTCCAAACATAAATGGAAACCAAATAAAACTCATCCACTAATGGTCTTTACTCTTTTTAATTAACCCAGAACAGTCACCTGTTTGTTTTTCACTGGTTGATGAACAGACAGCAGCAGTCGACTTAGAAGCATTGTCATTTACAGGCACCGAAGAGATCAAGTCCATGTTCTTTTTAACGGACACTTTTGAAGTCTCAGTGCCTAAACAAATATCTGGGTTCAACACTGCTTCTGAAGATGTTGTCAAATGCTTATCTTGATGTAGAGACTCTGACGCCTGCTTTAAGAAACCAGTCAGGGAAAAAACATCTTTCTCAGTATCTGTATCATGAAAGCAGACAAGGTTAATTTTCACATCCAGAGGCCCTACTGTGTTCACTAGAACTTCACCTCTTCTGCTTCCCTTTAAAACCAAACAATGCAGAGTAGCAATAATTGTTTCCATAAATAATCAAACTATTTTTATAAATAAAAAAATATATAATATTTTGGGGTATTTTTAAAATATATTTTAAAGTTTCATATTGGTGTCCATATAAAGTTCATTTACATTATCTTTCACCCTATCCTTCATATTGTTTCATATAATCATTCCTATACATTAAGTTTTATAAAATTAATCATCATTTGACCTCACCCACCATTAGCCTGTCTTTTCACCCAGATCCTTCCGAAAATATAAAATTTTTATAAAAACTTTCATACAAATAATAAAAATGAAATAAAAAGTATTCAGTAAATTTTGAACCGTATCTTAAACAATTTAAGCAAAAATTAAGTACGTGATCAATGGAAAATACATACATCAATATTAAGACATCAAAACTTGGTTCTACACTGTAAGAAAATAGAAATATTAGTGTCACTTATACTATTACCACTAAAAGTTTAGTAAGGTTATTGGTTAAAATGAAAATTATTATAAAGAAAATACAAAAAACACAGACAGTAAACATTGTAACAGGAGTAAAATAGCATTAACTACACTGATGAACTAACAATTGAATTAGACATTTCTAATTAAGCTCTGCCTTAATTACAATTTCCTTTAGTTTTAATACTTTCGAACCAAGACAACTACTGAAAAGAGGCTCCCTGGAATACTCTTTCCAAACCATTCAGCTACTGTCATTCTCTCATATGCCAACAAAACTTAGAAAAGCAATCTTTTCTAATACGAGAAAAGATGAGAAAAATAACCTTAAAAAGGAAAGCATCAAAGTAAAAATTTTAAAAGGAAATAATCTTATATTATTTAAAATGTAGGCACTGCAATAAGGAAATAGGCTGCTATCACAGCTATCACAGTATATCAAAATATACTACAAATTATTTCAATATTTAACTATAGAAGTATTAGGAGGAAATACAGATGAGTAAGTTTATTTTCTTAAGTATAACATTATTAATATTCTAATAGTATACTACGGTGAACTGTGACCCCAAAAAAATATATTCCATTTAGAACAAAAAATGCCTGTGAGCGGTGAGAGAAGTGCAGCAATGAATGAATGGAAATCCAAAATCTCTGTAAATGCTCATTAAAATTATTAAAAAAAAATAAAGCTTAAAAAAAAATACCTGTGAATATAATTCTGTTCGGTAATTTTTAGAGATGAAATTAAGGTTAGCAAGATGACATTATGCATTCAGAGTAGGGCCATAAATAAGGTATAAGCTATTTAGGAAACATACCTGACTATAATCAATTATAGGTAAAATAAAATCATTTTCTACAATGTCCTGTCCTTCCATGTCTTCATATATCATTCCCGGATTCATTAGTTGTTCAAAATAGGCCTTCAAGTGATCATTATAAAACTGCTCATCATCCATATCATCTACTTAGAAGATGAAGGAAAAAAAATGGGTTTTAAAATAGTCAAAAAGGCAAATAAAATAAATGAGTCAATAGTCTCTATGATCTTAATATGTGATATTAAAAAAAACACCCCAAAACCCTCTTACAATTTAGGTCATTACTAGGCATCCTAATTACAAACTAAATTGATCAGGACTTTGACACAACAGCACAGAAACAGATCCTACTCTAAACCAAAAATTAGTACATGCCATAAAAAAGCTCCCAGACTCAGTAAATAAAGCCAGGAAGTCACAAGGGCACGGTTAACACACAAAACTCAGGTGAGAGTTATCTGAAATGGAAATTAAGGAGCTAATTCCATTTACGGTAACATCTGAAAGAATAAAATACCTAGGAATAAATTTAAAGAAAAGTATAGTAAAACTTGAAAAGATTAAAAAAAGAAAAAGAAAACATAACTAAGAATTAAAACATTTTATGCTACTGGATTGAAGACTAAGTATATCCATCTAAATTTCAACAACTTTCTTTGCAGAAAGCCCAGGTTTCAAGTTCACAGAAAATGTGGAGGGACTTTATGAAGACATAATTATCTTGATGGGGGCGGGGTGGTGCAAGGACTACTCAAAGTCAAAAGAATCAAAACAGTCTGTCACTGCTCTCATGACAGTCAAATAGATCAATTCATGGAAAAGAATTCAGAGTCCAGAAATAAGCCCATATATTTATCTATGGTCAATCAATTTTAGCCAAGATGCTTAATTCCATTCAAGTAAGAAAAGTACAGTCTCTTTCTATAACCAGAAGATAAAATAGATGAATAGGACCTTCAAAGAATCAAATCCCTATGCACATCTCACCCCAGTCAGAATAGCAAAATTTAACAGAATAGCAAGCAACAAATGCTGGCGAGATTGTGGAAAAACCGGAACCTTTATTCACTGTTGGTGAGAGTATAAAACGGTGGGTGCAACCACTGTGGAAGGAGGTATGGTGATTTCTCAATAAGGAGCAACTAGAGATACCATTTGACCCAGCAATTCCACTACTGGGAATAGACCCCAAAGAGACCATAACCACCACCCAAGCAGATACATTCACACTCATGTTTATAGAGGCTTTGTTCACAATAGCAAGGAGCTGAAAACAACCTAAGTGACCATTAATAAACAAATGGATATTGAAGCTGTGCTATATTCACACAATGGAATACTACACTGCATTGAAAAACAAGGAACTCATGCAATATTATTCAAAATGGGTGACTCTGGAAGATATGCTGAGTGAAGTATCTCAGTCACAAAAGAACAAATACTGCATGGTGCCTCTGTTGTAAAACAAGACTGACATCAGAGTTGGGGGGAGACTGAGAAAGATGGAATAAATTATGTATACTGCATTGAAACAGATGAAGGAGAAAAAGTGTTTAAAAGGGATATGTTATTAGGTATTTCTGTCATGACTGGAGTCCAGAACAAAGGCTGCATAGTGGAGTGGACCTGGGGGGAGGGATTGTAAAAGAATGAAAGAATTTTTCTTTTACTTTTCCAAGAGGGTAGTGTACTGGGGGATAGGGCTGGGAGGGGAGAAAAGTGCAACAATGAATGAATGAAAATCCAGAGTATGTAAATTTTCATTGAAATTAATAATAAATTTTTTTAAAAACCCATAATCCATGGGAATTACTCCATGAAATATAGTATGAACGAAGAATAATGTGAAATACACTGTACAAAAACTCTGTAAGCAAACCAATATAAATTTTTTTTCCTTATGTACCATCCTGTCAGGCACAGGAGGAGATTGCTCCTCCTTCTCCAGCAGAGGATCTGGTGGATTAAAACTGTAATAACACTTTTAAAAAACCCCAAAAATAAAACTCTTAGCAGAAAACACAGAAATAATGCTTTCAGACCTAGCTTTTGAGAATGGATTATTAAATATGACACTAAAGCATGAGCAATAGAAGACAAATTGGACTTCATCAAAATTAAAACCTTCTGAATATCAAATAGTTTTTTTATAAAGAAATAAAGACTGGAGAAAAATCTGAAAGACTGATAAGATTTCATTTTAAGAATACATAAAGAATACACCTCTAACTCAACAACAAAAAGACAAGGAATGATATAAAATGATGGGAATTGTACAACCATTCTGAAAGGCTGTTTGGCGTTTCCTCAAAAAGCTAAACTCAAAAACCCATATGACCCAGCTACTGCACTGCTCAGACTAAGCACCCAAGGAAAATAGACTGAAACACAAATGGAGATATGTATACCTAGGTTCACAGCAGTGTTATTCACAAAAGCAAGAAAATGGGAACAGCCCAATGTCCAAAATTATGGTAGTCATAAAACGGAATACTATGCAGCACTAAAGAGCAATGATTTTATGAAATACTGTATAATGTGAGAAAATTTACAGAGTATTATGCTGAGTTAACTAACTCAGTTTCATAAGAATGAATATTACATAAGACCATTATTGTAAAAATAAGTTAACTTCTGTTGTTATGTGCTGTCGAGTTGCCTGCGACTCAAAGCAACCCCATATACAGGATCTCTGAACTCTGCCCTATCCTGAGTCAATCTCTGACTGGCTTATAAATCATAAACACACATGCCATGGGAAATATAACAGAGAAATAATTCGAGAAGTTGGGCTACAGGAAGAAGAATGTGGCTCAGGATTAGAGGAAGACTCATTAAAAACCTGTGTTAAGAAGATGATACAAAAATAACTATAAGATATCATCTCACCTCAGTAAGAAGAGCAAAATTTAACAGAACAGCAAACAACAAATGCTGATGAGGTAGTGGAGAAACTGGAACCTTTATTCACTGTTGGGTGAGAGTACAAAATGGTGCAACCACTTTGGAGGGCAGTATGGTGTTTTCTCAGAAAGTTAGAAATAGCAAAAATGAATGAATGGAAATCCAAACTCTCTGTTCATGAACATTAATAAAATTTAAATTAAAAAGTTGGAAATATGCACACCCATGTTTATTGCAGCTTTGTTCACAATAGCAAGGAGTTGGAAACAACCTAAGTGCCCATCAACAATCGAATGGCTAGAGAAGCTGTGGTATATTCGCACAATGGAATACTATGCTGCATTAAAAAACAAGGAACTCATGCAATATTATTCAAAATGGTTGACTCTGGAGAACATTATGCTGAGTGAAATATCCCAGTCACAAAAGGACAAATATTACATGATGCCACTGTTGTAGAATGGGACTAACCTCGGGGTTGGGGAGAGACTGAGTAAGATGGGTTCAATAATGTATACTGCACTGAAACAGAGGAGGGAGAAAACGGTTTAAAAGAGATATGTGACTAGGTATTTCTGTCATCACAGGAGTCTAGAGCGAGGGCTACATGGTGGAGGGGACCTGGGGGAGGGTTTGTAAAACAATGAAAGAATCTTTTCTTTTACTTTTCCATAATTTTTGACTCATGTACTTATAACTTGTTAGTCAAATTTGTGTCTTCTAGGTTGCAACACCCCCATGATACATCTTCAAGGATATGAACATGTACGGCCAAGCACAATCAATAAGAGTGCATCTAAATTCCAAAATCAATCTCCATAATAGTCTATGTGTTTCCTACTGCCAAAGGGGCCCTTTAGAGTAGTGAGAGAAGATCTTCACCCTGAAACCCACAGCGTCCCTTTTCAGCAGGAAGTAGCTAAGAGAATACGCCATCCCCTTTTCCTTATGAATCAGGGTGAAGTCTCTCTCAGGGAGGAGTGATAGGGAATGGCAAAGGACACACTGACAAAGGAGATTAATCAGAACTGACTTTGACAAGCACTGTGGCAATTGGACAATTAAAACAGACATTCGGATGGCGGGGAAGAAGAACAAACTGGGGAGGAGGGTGGAGAGAATGGTGCGGCAATGAAGGAGTGAAAGCCCAGAATCCCTGTGAATGTTCATTGAAACTAATAAAATTTAATAATAATAAAAAAAAAAGTTGGAAATAGAAATACCATTTAACCCAGCAATTACACTACTGGGAATATACCCTAAAGAAACCATAACCACCACCCAAAGCAGATATATGCACATTCATGTTTATCGTGGACTTGAAAGAGGGACAATCTCCTCCTGTACCAGTCAGATCCAATTTGACGGCACAAATACCAAAAAAAATAATAAAATTTAAAAAAATAAATAAAAACAAGGAATTCATGAAATATTATACAAAATGGGTGATGCTGGAGTACATTATACTGAGTGAAATATCTCATTCACAAAAGGACAAATATTGCATAGTGTCACTGATGTAAAATGGAACCGACATCGGGGTTAAAGGGAGACTAAGAAAGGTGGGATAAATTACGTATACTGCATTGAAACAGATGAGGGAGAAAACTGTTTCCGGGGGAGTTATAATTAGGTATTATTGTGATGACAGGAGTCCAGAACGAAGGCTGCATAGTGGAGTGCACTTGGGGGAGGGCTTGTATAATAATGAAAGAAATTATCTTTTACTTTTCAAAATGAAGGCTGCATAATGGAGTAAACTTGGGTGAAGGGATTGTATAACAATGAAAGAATTTTTATTTTCCTTTTCAAAGAGAACAGCGAACTAGGGGGGAGGCTGGGTAGGGAGAAAAATGCAACAATGAATGAATGGAAATCCAAAGTCTCTGGAAACTTTCATTAAAATTAATAAGAAAAAAGATGATGATACAACTTTGCTGGCAGAAAATGAAGAGGATTCGAAGCTATGGCTGGAAGACTAAATGCTTCAATATGGATAACACTTCAACATTAAGAAAACAAAAATCTCCGCCACTGGATCAATAGGCAACATCATAATAGAGAAAGAAAAGATTAATGCTGTCAATTATTTTATTTTGCTTGGCTCCACAATCAACACCCAGGGTTAAGAAATCAAAATATATTATGTTGCATTAGAGAAACATGCTGCCAAGGGCCTCTCCAAAGGTCTGAAGAGCAACCATACTTATTCAGAGTTTAAGGTGCACCTGACTCAAGCCTTGGTATTTTCAATTACTTTCTATGTATCTGAGGTGGCATATGCATCTGATGGTGGCCTAGTGGCAAAAAGCTGTGCTACAATACTGAAGGCAAGTGGTTTGAAGCCACCAGCTGCTCCGCAGCAGAATGGGCAATCTCCTCTGGTTGCCTCTGGTCAGCTATCTGAGTCAGCTATCAGGTGGCTCCGATCTACAGTACACAACAACAACAATGCATCTGAATGCTGGACAATAAACAAGAATGATAGAAATATCAATGCCTTTGGACTGTGGTGCTGAAGAAGAGTACTGAATTTCCCATGCACTATCAAAAGAAAAAACATATCTATCTTGGAGGAAGTATAATTAAGGTGTTCCTTAGAGACCAGGACGGTAAAAATTTGTGACACATACACTGGGTACATGCTTTACAGAGGTAACTCGTGGTTGCTGTGATGCTAAACACTGTTGGCAATGAGGCATCAAATGTAATGATTATCCATGCTGGACAGTGTTTGGTGGAGCTCCCTGACTAAAACAAGCTTGGAAGCAGGAGTGGCATCCACTTGTGAAATAGCCTGCCTCCGGAAACTCTATGAACCTGGAGAAAGCATCAGCATTATAAAAGTGTCCAGGTCTTTCGTTCATAGGGTCGCTAGGAGTTGAGCTAGGACTCGATGGCACTTAACAACATCACCACATTGGGTATATTGTGATGAGGGGCTAGTCCTTTAAACAATACATCAAGCTGGGTAAGGTGGAAGGTCAGAGAAAGAGAGGAAGATCCTCAACAAGGTGGACACAATTACTTTAACAATAAGCTCAAGTGTACCATGAGGATCATAAGGATGGTGCTGTTTAAGGATATATTATTAGGTATTTTTGTCATGACAGGAGTCCAGAGCGAAGGCTGCATAATGGAGTGAACCTGGGGCGAGGGATTGTAAAACAATGAAAGAATTTTTCTTTTACTTTTCAAAGAGGGTAGTGTACTAGGGGGGAGTGTTGGAAGGGGAGAAAAGTGCAACAATCAATGAATAGAAATCCAAACTCTCTGTAAATTTTCATTGAAATTAATAATAAATTTTTTTTAAAAAGAGCACCAACAATTGCCAAAAAATAAAAAAGGCAAGTATTGTATGATTCCATTGATAGGCAACAATATCTACATTATTCAAGTGTGTTATAAACTAAAGTGGTTACCCAGAAAGAAGGAAATTATATTAGTTATATAATTATATATAAATTATATCGTAGTTTCAACTTGTTTGCAGAGCAGATCATTCAGGAGGCAGGGCTTTATGAGGAGTATGGCATCAAGATTGGAGGAAGACTCATTAACAGAAACCTGTAATATGTAGATGACAAAAACTTGCTTGCTGAAACCAAAGAAGACCCGAAGCACTTGCTGCAAACGGTCAAGGACTATAGTCTTCGATAGGGATTGAAGCTCAACATCAAGAAGACAAAGATTCTCACTACTGAGCCAATTGGCCACACCATAATAGATAGATAATTGTTAGGAATTACAACTTGCTCGGATCCACAATCAATACTTTAAACCCCAGCAGTCAGAAAATCAAAATATGAATTGCATTGGTAAAATCTGCTGTCATGGAACTCTCCAGAATGCTGAAGAGCAACAATGTCAGTCTAGATACAAATGTGCACCTAATCCAGGTTACATTCTTCTCAATTAATTGTTAATGCTCCAGAGAGGTGGACAATGACTAAGGATAACAGAAGAATATATACCTTTGAGTTGTGGTGCTGGAGAAGAGTCTCAAACATACCATGGACTGCCAAGAAAACAAACAGATCTGTCTTGGAGAGAGTAAAGCCAAGTCTCTCCTTGGAGACTAGGATTTTTAAGTTCTGCCTCACTTACTTTGGGCACATGGCCAAGAGAGATTGGTCCATAGAGAAAGACACCACGCTAAGAAGGGTGGACAGATAGCGCAGGAGAAGAAGACCCTAAATGAGATGGATTGATGCAATAATTGAGGCACTGGGTGTTGGTGTGTCAAAATTAGTGGAAATGGCTCAGGACAGGGAAGGGTTCAGAGTTGCTATACAAAGGGTCGCTATACATCGCAGGCGACTCTGGCACAAAATATATTATGACAGGTTTGGAAAAGGAGTGGCATCCACTTCCTAAACAACATGCCTCCGAAACTCTATAAATGTTGTTAGTTGTAGAGGGACTTCAGGCCTTTTGTTCTTAGGGTCGCTATGAGTCATGTTCAACTTGAAGGCAATCAACAACAGTGGTGAAGACAGTTACTGTAATCAATGTTACGAAAATGTCTGCATTAAAAAAGTTTTAATAGCAAATAGTTAACTTTATAATTTAAAACAACAGACTTTATAAAATCCACTATATGATAAATGTAGCATAATAAACCAGTGGGAAAGTGTTATCTATTTAGAAAATGGTGTGGCAAACAGAAAACTATCAAAAGGAGAGTAAGTATATCTCAAGTATAGATAAATCCTATGATAATTAACTAAATAAAAAACAAAATCAAAAGACCAGTAATTAAATAACTAAAGACCAATAATAAAAAATAAAAATACAACCTCTCTAAAAATTAAAATGTTAAAAATGAACAAACACCAGCACCACTTTCACTGGAAATTGTTTTGCAACTAACATTAGATAATAAAAATGCTCATATCTCTGACTTACCAATTTCACCTCTAAGAATCTGGCCTAGTGAAACCATGAGATCGCAATTAATTCAGAACAGTAGTTCCTGACCTATAAGTCTACAATCTAAGAAAATCTGGATATGTGAGATGTAAAACCTGCATTAGGTGATATAATGCTTTTTTATTTTGTTAAATTTACCCCACTCTGCTTATTAACTTGTCCTTCAAGACCATGAATTCTTTGGCCTGAACATAACTATCCAGGGTTCATTTCTCAATTCAACATCCCTCAGGTCCTATAATCATCCCTTGAAACCCCTCGGTGTTCCACCAGCTGTTGCTGCTTTCAAACATGTCTTTCTCTTCCTATTTCTAGAGGAGGCCTGGAGCAAGCCCCAACCTCTTTCAAGAAATCTACACAGGAAATCAAGGAACTTTCTCAGTCAGAACGAACACCTCAAACACTACAATATCCAAAGGTGTTCTGTTCTTTTAGGGTGCACAGAAAACCTTATTTCTCAACATAGTCCTTTATACTGAGTAGCCCCAGAAGGTACAACTTCATACTCTAATGATATTAAACTGAGGAATGAATTTAATCACCTCAGTACTGATATACACCTAGAAATACAGCTAAAAAACTACAATAACTTCACAGAAATACAGTAAGTACTGACAGATTTGCATTTTAAAAGGAAGAGGGAGGACGATGAAATAAAAACATTGCCACAGTAAGCCCCACAATGAAGATAAGTGGCACTACACAGGAAAAAAAAAAATAAAAATAAAACATTTTTATGTTAAAACAAACATGAAAAATAAAAGTTACTTTACCAGAGAAATCCTCAAAGCTAGTCATTGACAGAAGTTTTTCATCTTCTAGTAAGACCACTTCACTTAATTCACTGTTTGGCATTTTGTCTTCAAATTGTGTTACAGCATCAGGTCCAACAACCTGTTAGAAACCAAACAGCAAATAAGAGAAGCATCCTATCACTGCTATGGAGACATCCAAAACCCATTGTTAACAGAGTTGATTCTGACTCACAGCAATACTTCAAGACAAGGCAGAACTACCCAAAGTCTCCTAAGCTGTAACTGTACAGGAGTAGCCTGCCTCCTTGCTTCTATGGAGTGGTAGCCTCAAACTTCCAGCCTTTGGATTAGGAGCTGTCTTAATTAACCACAGCACCATCAGAGCTCCTGAGAGAAGAGAGCAGGACTGCAAAAAGACTGGGGTCTTTCTTTACCCATGTTCTTCAGGTCTGTAACTGACAATTTAGACGATGAAGAGTCCTGGAGGTTTCAATTTTGTTTTCATAATTATTTCACATAGATTAATAAATTCCTACCTCAAAGCCTCCAACCTCTCCCGACACATCCAATTATAAAATTCTTAAAACTAAAGCCTCTCCTAATATTTTTTGCACCTCTCAGAGAACCTAGGGATACAGTTCATATGTTAAGTCTTCCTACAGTTGAAAAACACAAAGCTACAAAGCTTAACACAGCAAGAAATGACAATGCTGAAAGTTGAACTTAGCAGTCTTAGCCTACATAATGAGTAAGATCTAAATAAAGATCGCATTCCATTCTTTCTTTTAGTTTGGAATACTAAGCTTCTCTGAAAATTATCCAAAAACGACTGGAACAGCACATCAACAGAGAACTACCAGAAGTCCAGGCTGGTTTCAGAAGGGGTCATGGTACTAGAGATATTGCAGCTGATGTTAGATGGATCTTGGCTGAAAGCAGGGAATACCAGAGGAATGTCTATCTCTGCTTCATTGACTATGCAAAGGCATTTGACTGTGTAGACCATAACAAACTGTGGCTGACTCTGAGAAGAATGGG